GCGAATTTGCACTCCTTACAACAGTCCAGGGCGTTAGCGAATGAGTTGTGGAACCCTGTCACCATCTAAAAATGAAAGAAGGCTGCAGTCGTGAGTCTCAGAACCTCTTTAAACAATATTAGTGACAAGCCGCTTTCAAGATATTAGTGCTGTAAGGGCTTGAGATTTCCTCAACCTCTTGAACCTTTCACTAACGCTAGCGAATTGTGTACGTAGTAAACTTAGGATTCCTCAGGATCACTCAAAAAGTTATGTTTTCCGCAACAGTTTTTCTTACAGCAAATCTTTTAGGCTGCTCCAGAGAGTTCAAAAGCTCGTTGCAAGTGACACCAGCGATCATTTTAAGAGCTTGAGATGTTCTCAAGTCACTACAACACTAAATATCTTAACTGCGCATGAGCGAACGGCCATATTTATTCTATCACAAAATGTTATCGCCTTTGGTTCTTCCCCGCAACATTTTCCAGTGTTTCCGATAAAGTCCACAAGCATATGACAGTGTTGTATATCGCCCATGCAGGTTTCATGGCCCTAGGACCTCCGATGTGATACTTTCATCAACGACCTTTTTGGTTGCTCACATCCTTTGCAATATTTTTTGAACCCCACTTCAGATCAGTTCTTGACAGATCACTATGCTAGATCATTTGCTCCCTCACATTTTTCAATTTAGCAGTGTGAAACTAAGCCACGGAAGCCAAGAAATCTTGTTGCCCATTGTACACAGAGGGTTGCTAGAAGGATTTTCAACCAACCATCAAAACAAAGCGATCGACTTTCTGCTTTAAAATCCCACAAAGAGTGAATCCGAATCTAATTGACTCAGCTCATCTAGCATCAACCCAACCAACCAACCTAAACCAACAACAAACTAACAACATGTATGGAGTGCAGAGCTACAAAACCAATATTTTGTCAAATCAAATATTCAAATATGTTAAATACACCATAGTGTGTTTGATGGTTTTGGATGGTTAGTGGGCCCCTGGCAGGTGCCATCATCGTCAAACTCGGAAGGCTTAGGTCCGAACCAGGTCCGTTCCACTCGGCCCCCATGGCCCCCAAAGCAATCGAGGTGACCTTATTCCAGGATGAGGTCACAAACAGGCCCCTAAAAGGTCACAAGAAAAGACTCCAAAGAGGTCACAACTTAGTCGTCCAATGGCCTTCCCTTTCCGCCTTTGGCGTGAAACTCGCTTTTGTGTTCAAGCCACGGTGCGGATGTTTCGAAAACCAGCAGGAAAGTGGATGTCAGTACCCAAAGACATCATGCTCCAAAAGCCCCGAGGTGGAGACATCGATTGGTTTCCAGCATCGAGAGGGATCCGTTGTTCAAGGAGGATGATCTATCTCCAGGATTCTCCAGGTCGAGTGAAAGTCGTCAATGCAAAGAGGAGAAAAAAGGGTTGATGAGAAGTTCTGTGTCCACTATGGCACGCCCAAGAGCCTTAAGCTGCTATGCCTGCCTCAAATTTGACATGGCGGCTGGACATGTGCACCAGGAAAAGGAACCATCTTTATCCCCCGTCCCCCGTCCTTTTGCGACCTCACGGTGCGCGCGATCCAGTTCTCGACTCACCGCCCAATGCCGTAGGACTGCCTTCAAAACGGCCAGGGGTGGTGGTGCCACGGGGGGTCAATGCAGGCATATATGGCATACCTGGAGTGTCTGGGTGATGGATGCATGGAAGATTTACCCGGGACTGAGCTCGTCTTGGGTTACATTGGGGTGGGACTGGGCTCAGGAGGGTCCACTCATACAACCTGAGGTAACCTCCTGGAGCCCAAACGGGTTACATCCATTGGGGTGGGACTAATTGATTTCAGGGGTCTTTCTGGGGCAATCCAGTCCGATGACGTCGCGGGACGACCAAGTCAGTGACCACGAAAGAGTACGGGGTATCGCAAAGCACGTAGGTGGGATGTTGAAATTGGACAAAACCATATGATAGCCAGCCGCTATTTCTCAAATCTTCTCGAAAACTGGTGCTCCTCTTGCTCAATGGTGGTGTGGGCAAGGATTGAATTGTCCGTCCGCTTTTTGCTATTCATGTCTATCAATCAATAGAACCATTCTCTATAGCATGCTTTCACTTTAATTACTCAGGACCGCAATTCGGGCTTCGAAGATCTTCGTTGCGCTAAACTCCTTTCTTCCTTTTCCCATCGGCACCTGGTGCAGGCAGCTCCAAGAGGCGTTGCCAGCACTTGGGTAGACGACGCGTCTACCCGTTGATCTGCCTGACGTCGATCGTCGATCTGCGTCGAGATCTCGACCTATTTCCATACCGTGTCTCGAGACCCTGCCATCCGTACCTCCTTTTCGTTCGGCACTGGATGAAAGGAACAAGAAAGTTACAGGCAGACTGCTTCCAAATCCTACAACCTTTATACAAGTTGTTCCTGTCCGGTTTGGGAAGAAATATCGAAGAAATGGACCGCCGACCGCTCTTCTTAACTTGCAAAAAGGCCTTCTTGGCTTCAAGCGGCAGGGCGCCGTTCCGCTTCTGGTTCACCAGAAGCATCGTGCACCGTTCCATGAAGCTGGTACCAGCAGTTCAAGTCTGGTTGGAGCACTTGTGGGCTTTGGACCCCTTCGGCCCATCTCCGGCCGTTCTTGTTTCGCAAAAAACGGGCTTTTCCGCGGCCGCGGCAAAAAACGGCGGCCGGTCGGCCCGACCGGGGGTCCAGTGGTGTTTTCGAAGGTCAAGGTACTTCGATCCGGAACACTTCTGTCAAATTCGGTACTTCGATCTCACAGGTCAAGCTGCGGTGATCCAAAGTGTAGAGCTGCTCATCGGATCACCGAGTTCGGGTCCGAGTTCCACACAAAGGCGAGGCTCTCAGCCGGTCGGAGCCAAGGAGAGCCCTCTCTTGATGTGAGAAGCACTGCTTCTCATCTCCGGGAGAATCACCACCAGACCGTGGTGATTCGTGGATTCCAAGGTCTTTCCATGGTCAGGGATGGTGCAGGGGATGCCCCGGCCGGCGAGGAAGTTGAACAAGTCAGCTTCACTTCACTTCTTGCGGCCATTTCATGCCACCTCCAACCTACTAGCTTCTTGCTACTAGTAGCGTTGGCCTCCACCCCAGTGGTGATGGCCTCCATCGCAGGCCTCCACCCTAGTAGCGATGGCCTCCAACCTAGTAGCGATGGCCTCTATGAAAACAAACACATCCCCCATGCTGTTTTTTGTTTTTTTCCATGCTTCTGGAGACGCTTCTGATGTCATCTTCAACAACCATTCAGTCACACGCGCCGGTCGCCGAACCGGTCGCCGTTCGGCAGCCAAGAGTGGTCCCCAAATCGTTTGTCGCGGCGGTGTCCAATACATGTTTAGTGGGGATAAACCGAACTTCTATCTATTTTATTTAAGTGCATGGTATACCAGGAGAAACCAAACCTAGAAAAACCACGACCTGTTCCGAAAACCCGTGTTTTGGCATATAAGACGACGAAAACCCAGTTATTCAGTGAAAAACTCGGTTTCTCATGTTCAGAATCCGTATTTTTCCGTGCAAAAACCTGTAATTTTCCCGTAAAACATGTCTTTTTGTGAAGGGTTTCTGAGAAACCCGTCTTTTGTTGCAAAGACTGAGTTTTTTCAAGACCCTACACTTTTCTAGGTTTGGATGGTCTTGGTACAATGACAATGATGTGTTGAATCTGTGTGCATTTGGCTGCAACAACACCGGCAGCAAGGACAGCTGGGAGATGTGCCATAAAAATCAAGAGTTCTACTGACTGGTCCTTGCATGTTGCGCAAATCTTAAACTTCGCCTGAAAATGGTCTTCTTTGTGGCAGTGCTTACAGCCTGTCTGGCACAACGCTTCCACCAGGTCGAGCCTGCACCACTTCCACCAGGTCGAGCTTGACCAAATCCTTTCGATCATTGTGGACCTGACTCACTCGAAAACGCCGAAGGAACGTCCACAGGTTTGCTTGCGGAACAACCCGTTCCGTTCGGAAGGACGTTCGGAAGAAGGACCGGTCGAATGGCGCGGTCTAAACCAAATGCGAAGGCACAGGCACGGCGCGAAACGATCGAAAGAACGTGGTGAGAACATGTACCCGTTTGAAGTCCAGTTTGACGATATTTTGACCGACTGAAGTAAAGGATTAGTCCCGAAATTGGGTCACCCAGTCAGACCATTCTCTTTAGAGTCTTTGACTCCCAGGGATAACAATGCCTTGTGACATAGAACACCAGCCAAAAGGTGACATAGAAAAGCAATTTAGCTCGACCAACTATATATATTTAAATAAATATGTTCAGCAACTGTGATTGGATGAACCAAACATTAAAATTGAACTGACTGCACGTGTTAACAGTTAAATGTTGGAGACAGGCAAGCCGATGTGGTCATTGGCTCATCGTGGATGGTTTTTTCTCGCTCGTGTTGGAATTGGATGGAGTCACTCAGTGTACAGCTGCGATCAAAATGAGATTGCCGGGCCTTGTGGTGTCACGTGTTTCCACTGCTGATATCGTCTGAAAGCACACACTTCTCTTTGGCCATATCAAGTTGACCCTACCGCCAACAATCAACAACCGCATGATCAATAGGTGACATTTGCAAAGTATCGGCTGGCTAGTTTTCAGGGCAATGCCTCTGGAACAAAAAACAACACACTCAAAAACATTCAACAACAAAGAGAGATGTTGGACAGCCATATGTTTCGACAGCCCCTTTCGGGGATGCAATCCACCCAGGGCGAAAGAAGTCGAACACCTGAAGAGTTGAAAGTGGACTGCAGCAAGTCACCCCAAACTCGTGTAGGGGTTATGGAAGCCCGTTTTGGACTGTGCCATGTGGGGGTCACCGACTTCGCCCCCGTAGCGCCGCTACGCGAGTTCGACCGACACCGTCGGTTGATCAAACGGTCGGCTCTCATGGTGCCATGATACACGTGAATGATGCCAATCGTGCGTCTTACTAAGGGGGCATACTAAGAGGGCATACGAAACAAATTCAATTCCAGCCTACTACTACTACTACTGCTGCTACTACTATTACTATTCACAACCTGCTGGTATGAAGGAAGTGGACCAAACTGACTAACTGAGTGAGAGAGGGAGCGAGGGAGCTAGGCAGCCCGCAAAATCTTCGAACAACGCAGCCGTATACGGAGCAGGGCGCAGTGAAAGTCCGCCCAAACGTACCCTACTGCATACAGTACACTCCCTAGGGCCATCCTTGGGGGGCCTAGGGACCATTGACAGCACGAGCCACTTTCACTTGGTGGACCATTGCCGCCAATGCTGCTGTACTACAAATCCGCGGGGACAAGGAAATGGCTGGTGAGTTACATTCGCGGGAAGCACCGCAAAAATGGTCGGTTCAAACGCTGGCTCCACCTTGTCCCAATCACATTGCCAAAACGAGGGCCGCCGAAGAAGGTTCCGTGTCTGGAAGGTTCCCAAAATGATCTAAAACTCGTCAGCCAATCGAGTCCCCATGCATTCAGGGGCAGGGCATGCCCCTGGCTGGCGGTGGATAAGCTGAGGTCTAGCCGTCGATCTGAAGATGGTCGGACGTGGATGGCTTTCTTCATACTCTGGAGACCAAGGGCCCAGAAGGAGGCACCTTTCAACTGTGAAATCAAAGATAGATGGTGTGAATTAGAATAGGGACCCAAAGACCCCCCCGAAGAAGTAAAAATTAGACTAAAACCCACTGATTGGCAAAACCCACTGATTGGCGATCTCCTCATTTAAAATGCAAAAAAATGGAACCCTCACCCAGCTCTTAGTCTTCAAGACTACGCAGCCGTTTCAACCAAGTCATGGCACTCAAGAGATCTAAGTGAGGGTCTAGGATCCCATTTATTGGGGAAAAACGCTAGTGGGTTGGAGGCCATCGCTAGTAGCTTGGAGACCATGGCTAGTAGGTTGGAGGCCATCGCTCTAGGTTGGAGGCCACCACTCATTCCGAGGCCTTGGCATACAATGTACAGAAAACGGCCTTCCCAGTAAAGTATCGACTGCATGTTGACTTCCATCAAGGACTTGCTGCGGTGTCACTCGGACTTGCTTGCCCCACTTCAACCCACGAACGCAGACGGCGTGAACCCGGACAGCCTGACCAGCATCATCATCATATACCCAGACCGGTGACTCCAATTCTATGCCAATCACGGGACCCCTGAAATCCACCACTTAACACCCTTTATATATTAGGCCTTTTACTGGGCCGTAACTTCACGATTTGAAGGGGAGAGTCCGCCAGTTTGACCAGAGTCTCGGTCTGGGATGGGGGATATTCTTAAATGCTATATTGAATGCTAAGGCCACCTCAGGCATCGGACACAACGCCCTGAAGGGTCACCTAGGGTCGAAAGGCGAAACGCCAAACTCTCTCGGCCGTTTTTCGTCGCTCCCACAGGTTGGAGGCCATGGCTAGTAGGTTGGAGCCCATCGCTCTTAGGTTGGAGGCCATTGCTAGTAGGTTGGAGATGGGTCGATTTCCCGAAACCCAGGACGATCGGTACAACGCTCAGGTCTGTCAGGTCTCGTCTCAAATGAGGTCTCCCTATAGGTACCGTACCTGAGAAGGGGCTCCTGGCCCAGATCCGAAAAGAAGGTAGACTTAGTTAGACCCCCCTGGCCCACCGAACCTTTTCGGATGTGGGCCAGGAGCCCAAACGGGTTAATGAATCATACACAGAAACTCCTCAGCGAATCTCCAAGTCTTGAGAGTTGAGAAGGTAGCAAAGCAAGCTTGAAGGAGAGCAGCAAAGCAACCAGAAGCACCACACAACCCCGTTCTTTGACAATAAGGTATGGTGCCGGATCTGGTGTCTTGATAGTTATGATATGGCTCACATGTGAAAGCATCAACGATCCTCCACGTGAAGCAGAAACAATCGGACGATTCGCTCCGCACGGTGGGAAAATAGAACAGAAACAATTCGCTGCGCTTTTCAAACACCCACCTATAATTCCTCAAGCGGAGAGCCAAAAAGACATCAATTTATCGAATTGGCATCACCTTCTTAATCATCATTTGCACCAAAAGCCGACAGGAACGCCCTGGAGTAAGCCCAAGAAAAGCTTGTGACATGCCAAAATTTGGCCCAGTTGCGTTACCAGAGTCACTCCATGACTCACTTGCGCACTTGCGCTTCCATGACTCACTTGCGCGTGATGAAGGGGTTTCACTTTCCAATTGAGACATGGATACTCCTGCAAAGGAGCGAGCTCCAGCGCCAGGATTCGCAGGGAGATGGGAGATGGGGTGATGCATGATGCACCCCAAATAGATGGATGCTATAACATCTTGAAATCTGTAGTATGTAATATACATATAGTCTATAGTAAGTCTAGTACAATGACAATCTGTATGTAGATATATATATATATAATATATATATATATATATAGTAAACCAACATCCTAACTGTTCTTCGGGTATGATTGAAAACCTCGTGTATTCCAATCCATTGGCATACCTCGGGTTCTCTGAAAAAGCTCGGGCTTGTCCCCTGTGCTCTACTGAGGCATAGATGAATGAATTTGAGTGCCTCACAATGCATCTAACATATTGCATATGTTCCAATACTTGGAGGCAACATGAAACAGTGTGGCCACATGGGCCCGTGGAATCACAAATTCTGTCCATGTAGCGGTCCCAAAGTTGTTGGGAACCTGCCAACTAAAAGAGCAGCGTTTCAGCTTACTGGAGGATGCCAAGTCCACAAGCCCCTCATCGGCGGATGAAGTGTCTTTGACGAGTGCCCGTGCATATCATGATGGACCCAGCGCCTCGGTTCCGATGCCCAGTTCACATGGAGCCCCTCGCATGACCGCAACTGGCGCTACAGCCAGATTGTGGAAAAGTCCAAGTCGGACAAGAAGGTCCATGGATTTTTGAGCTGGATTGTGAAGACCTATGGAAAGGAGAAGAGTGGACCCGTGAAAAATCAGGCCACTGACCTTGCTCGATTCCTGTTGCGCATTCGCTGGACCCAGTCCAAGGCAAGCTCCCTTGTCGGCTTTGAGCGCCAGATGTGGAGGGAGGAGGGTTCGAAGCTGCCTTCATCGGCACGCCCGTGCCGATCCGAAGCTGCCTATGAAAGCCCCTCTCGGACAGAGGGCGTGTGAAATTGCTTGCTGAGCATTTCCTGTCAGGTGTCCTCGTGTGGCCATATCGGCTACAGGCCTTGAGCCGTGTTGGGCTTAGACGGAAAAGGTGCGTAGCCGCCATGTAGTTATCATTCGATCTAGGGCAAGTTAGCAGTTGATCGTGGTTGAGTATATATTGCTTACATTGACATTAAACGTTGATTGTTGCTGCTACCAAGTTCCGCAATATATATATATATATATATATGGATCATGTTGTGGCTAGCCCTCACCTCACCTCGCGAATCTTGTTTCCCTCTTCCCACTGGAAGGTCTCGTTTGACGTCACCAACTTGGTGTCTGTCTTCGTGAAAGGTCTGGATGCTTCGTATAGCTTTGTTCTCAAAGTGCTTAGCCTTAACATGATTGAATTTAATGGTATCCAGGAAAAAGTATCGCTCCTCCTCTTCCTCTTCTTGCCCATCATCTTGTTCTTCCGCTTCTGTGTCTTCTTCGTCCTCGTCAATGGCAGTCTTCTCCTCTTTATGTTGTGTACTGTGTACGTAGGGAAAAAGAACCGCTCAACAAAGTGCACAGGATGGGCCATCCTAGTGGCGTTACCAAGGCTTTTTTTCAATGGAATTGCAACTCGGAAACCAAATCATTTCTGTACGTTTGTTAAAAGTATTATTAACCAGGAGTCACAAAGGGGTGCCTATTGGAGGTTAGGGGTGCCCATTAGCCACTCACTTAGGGACCAAACACCACCCCTTTGTGACCCCTGGAATGCAGTAGTTTATCTTCGTGGTCCCCAGCCAAGCGATCAAGATTGACA